GAAAGCTGAGAGAAATCAAAAATGAGAGAGTCTTATTAGTGAAAACCTTCAAGGGCACCATAAGACGACGGTGAGATGAGAGAAAGACCCAAAATGAGAGAGGCTTGATGGTGAAAACCCTTCGGGCACTACAAGTCGAAAAAGGATTGTGATTCAAATCGGATAACAGGAGCATTGAAGCCCAGTTTCACAGCAAAAAGGTACAACAAGAGCTGAACATCAGATTTGCTTAACAAAACAGGCTGCAGGTGCATGCCAAGGTCATCAGAGTCGGTATCCACATCCGATAGGTTTCTACGTTGTAGTTTTCTTGTTAGGAATCATCTCTTTCCATTATCCTTTACTCTGTTCCTTTCGTCTTATTTACTCCCTCTTCCTGAGTCTGTTTGGTCATAACAAGTGAGAAATGACTTCAAAATCCGCCACCAGCTTTCCAATTGAACAAAACGGTATCTGGCCAGCATATCAGATCGTCATACACCAGGAAAAAATAGCAGGCACACTGAGTTGGCAACAATCTACATTGCTTTGGGATCCTTGTGAAATGCAAAGGCTTGGTATTTGTCAATTCATGAACAACGCAACAAATGAAGGGTTTAGGGTGAACGGATCAAAGGTATGTTCGATAAAACACGAAGGGTTTGGTACATATCAGATGGAGGGTGTTTGGTGAACGGATCAGAGGTATTTTCTGCGTTAAGGGTAACAAAGAAAGTGGTTAGCAAGGTCTCCAAGTGAGAATCAGTGAAGGAACAATAAACTTCAAGGCCGAGGCCAGTATTTAAGTCAAGAAAGAACATCATGTACACGAAGTGGGGGAAATAGATGTGCATTGGGATTCATATGAGACATAAGGGTTGGGGGAATGCCAGTTCATGCAATGCAACAAATAGAGGATATCGGGGCTGAACGGAGAAAAGGTATTTTATGTGATGAGGATGACAGAGAAAGGGGTTTAGTCCAGAAACAAGCAAGGTCTTCGAGTGGAAATCAGTCCTCTTGGGAAGCGAAAGAGCAATCTCCCTCCAAGTTCAAGGCCACAAACCAACCACCACATTTTAAACTGACAAGATTTTTCTTTGAATGAAACAGGGGCAGAAGTTCCGGAGAAACCCTCTGTAAGGAAAGGCAGCACCCAAGCAGGTATGACTGGAAATGCTCAGGGCCCTCCTAAAAATGGGACTTGGTTTAAATTTCAAAACAATCATGAGTAGCATAATGTAGCATAAATGTACCCCAAAGGAGCATAAGTTTGCATGTTTAAGATGGGATTCATTTAGGAGTTTTCAGGACCCTCCTGGATAACGGGACGTAATGTTAAGGTCGGTCTAGATAACAAGATATAGTGGGAGTCGTACCTTTAGTAGATATAACTTAGGTCAAAACTGTCTTTTAACTAGAAGTTGTCAGGACCCTCCTGGATAATGGGGAGTAGTTAAGACCTCTTTGATTACAACGTAGCGGAAGTAATACCTTTAGAAGATATAACTTAGGAGCTGTCAGGACTTCCCTGGATAATGGGACTTAGCTCTCCATTCTTACAATAGTTGGTCGAATAATTCAGTCTAACACTCACCCATGTGCCCAACTATGAAACTGGGGCAGAAAATTTTCTTTGTTTGTCTATTTTGTTGCAGTAAGGAGCCCACCTGGAGAACAAGGGAATACTTTTCAAGTTCAGCAGTCAGGAGCCCACCTGGAGAACAAGGGAATACATTTCAAGTTCAGCAATCAGGAGCCTACCTGGAGAACAAGGGAATACTTTTTGAGTTTCAGCAATTAGGCGCCCACCTGGAGAACAAGGGAAGTACAATTCAAATTCTATCTTTTAATTTTTAATATTTGATAACATGCAGTACCCAGCCACCAAACTGGGGCAGAAAATTTTCTTTGTTTGTCTTTTTGTTGCAGTCAGGACCCACCTGGAGAACAAGGGAATACATTTCAAGTTCAGCAATCAGGAGCCCACCTGGAGAACAAGGGAAGTACAATTCAAATTTTAGCTTTCAATTTTTAATATTTGATAACATGCTGTACCCAGCCACCAAACTGGGGCAGAAAATTTT